CTTTTCTGTGGCCATCAGGTGGGATTACTGGCCTGGCAGTGGGTCACAAATTCTCCCATCTTTAGTAGGAAGGTTTGTTGCTTTTTATTTGCAAAGTGATCATCATTTCTCAGATTGATAGTGTCATGCCAGAAAGTTCCCTGAGGGAAAAAATTCATTCTGTGAATGGTTTCTGTTTTTAATTTGCTTCATGCTCCGGTTTCCACAGCAGTTTGTGTAGCCCTCTCTGGAGCACTGATTGTAGGCGCCTCAAAAGAGCCAGAAACTGTCTTACTCGTCTTCCCACAGGCTTGCAGCAGGCCAGCCCGCCTCCTGGCCAGCGCTGGTGAATGAACTCCAATGTACCCTCCACATGCCCGTGCTCAGGACTGGCTTATTCCCCACCACATTGGTTCTCAAACGCTTTTGACCTCTAGGACCTAAAGAGAAGGGAAGGGAAGAGCCGGCAGCTGTCTGTGCTTTGGGCAGGTGGCTCCTGGGAGGGCAGAACTTGGAACCCCACGTCTGGCCTTGCCTGCAAAGATGCAGCAAGGGCCACAGGAGCAAGAACGCACGAGGGGCAGGGCGTGGACCTAGGCACAGGGCACCCGCGGGTTTCCACGGAGAAATACTTTTAACAGTGCTCATAGCAATTGGAAAATCCATTTGGTTAACCTTTCTTGGATGGGTGTAAGCCAGGAAAAGTAGACATAAGATGACAAGACGTTGATAAAGATCAAAAGCTTCTTAAAGCAAGTGTTAATATTCTCAAGCATCGCATCTATTATATCCTGAAATCAAAGTTTTTTTGGAAGCAATCTTGAAATTATAACAGGATTAAATGGAAAAGCATAATTTGATATAAAAATTATCTCCATGTATAGGGCTTTTTAGGAACACGTTATGCACAAAAATGAAGCAGTTTTATTGCCAAAGCAAGTCACAAACTGCACTTAAGTAGGGTCCCCTTCGGCTGTGACAGTATGACTTTCATGGGATTAGAAATCATGGATGGTACTGGGTCTGAGGGTGTGCTTGACTGTGCAGTATAGTAGCCACTAGCCACATGAGGCTATTTACATTAATTAAAATTCAATAAAATTTAAAATTCAGTCTCTCAATTGCATTAGCCACATTTTAAATGATCAATAGTTATGTGTGGCTAGTGGCTACCTTATTAAACAGCACAGATGGAGAACATTTCCATTACCACAGAATGTTCCATGGACAGTGCTGGTGTATAGCAAACACAAATGACAACTTTCTACATCAAAGAGAAAGTATTCAGTGCTTAGTATTCCGAGCTTAGAGAAAAGCTTATTAGGCATTAAAGAGATTTTAGAGATAACATTGAATAAATTAAATATGAGTGATAAAGATTAGATTTACCTTAAGATACACAGGAGTTTTAAAATGGGTTATATGTATGGGTACCCATAAACTTTTAAAAATAGCTGACATAAATATAATAACTTTTTTAAAAGAAGAAAAAAATAGCTAAGAATTGACCTCCTCTAGTTTTTATTGGTTAACACATAGCCTTTCACTGGTCTGTCAGAGTCACCCTAGGTGGTTGTTCAGGTTGCGTACTGAACAGTTCCAGGAGCATCACTCACATAGACTGCCACGTGAACTCTGGAATAAGCAGGGTATAAGCTGCACGGAAGCACGCAGCAGCCTCGGTCCCCTCACAGAAGCAACTCTAATTTAGAGCATTGCTCAACATCACAGTTTTCTAAATCCAAAAACTCCTTTTGACCACATTATCCTAGTTCTGAAGTAGGTAATCAAGTGAGAATTAACATCAGAAATGTGTGCTTTTGCATTCAGAGTCCAGTTTCACCACAAAGCCAGCTGCTTTGCTGAAAGTAGGGATGTGGAGATACTGAGAGCGTTGGATAGGACTTCCATGTGTGAGCTTCTTTTCAGACATACAGACACACACGCTCAGGGGGAAAAGAAGAATTTTTGGTTAAACTCTTTCCCTCAATTCGAACATTGAGGTGGGAAGCATTGTAAATCCTCCTTTGTCCTGGGTCTCCAACGGGAGATCATGTTCAGATGAAAATGCTTCCAGCCTTTTATAGAAGCACGTTTATGTGTATTTAGAAAACAACACTGCAAATAATTGTATAAATAATAGAGCAGTACAATGGGCGTCTCCCACGGAACTCAGGAGGTGCGGAAGGCGCTGTTCCATTCCGGACGACAGCGGCCGCTGATGCAGGGAGGAATAACTCCACTGACCGTTTACACACTTTAGCTCCCAGGGGTAGGGAACGAATTTAAATGATCCACAGACGCTGTCAGCTCTGGGGCTGAAAGGTGACACCGGGAGTTGAGGCCGCAAAGCTCTTGTAAGCAGGACTCCTGCCCAGCCTTCTGAGGACGGTAGTTATGAGGGGGCAAGACCCATTTCCAGGATGTTCGGCCGGAGCACTCAGAGACTGGTCAGAAACCACGGGGGCAGCATCCTGAAGTCTGGGAGGACTGGCCAGAAATGGGCAGGCAGGTCAAGGAGGGATGTCCAAGCAGGGGAATGAATGCCTCAGGCAGTTGACAGAAGCATGTGGCCACAGACCTCTCCTCTGGTCCCGGAGGGTGACTTGAGCCAGGGCCTTTGCATTCCCTGCCCCATCTTCTCTGCTCTCGTGACCTGAGTCACCAGCCTTGAAATGCCGCAGTGCAGCTGGCACACACAAGTTATGGGGCTCTATCCCTCACCCAGTCCACAGAGGACTACAGAAATGCCCCACCCAGATCCCGTAACCCCTGTCACTGGCTGTGCCCAGGCCTGGCTTCCAACACCAGCACTTGCATCATTGCCTTGGGGCTTTCGTTAGCTCTTGGAACCTGCCTTGGCTCCTAATAGCAGGCCAGAGTGCCATGGAATTAACACCCGTGGGAGCAGCCCTGCACCATTACAAACCCCCCAGCTCTCTGGGTATGCGGTGGTTCCCCACTGCCCTCAGCTCCAGTTGCCACAGGGGTGACTTGCTTGAAAACACTCCATTTACTGGCTACCTTCCCTTGCCTGTCTCGCATCCCCACTCCCCTGCCTGTATTTCTGTTACCGAACCAAGTGGGTTCACCTCCTAGTGAGTTAAATAAGACTCTACACCAGTGGAAGTTGTCTCACAAAGTAAAGTGTATTTGCAGCAAATAGGAGGCCGTGAGGAATCATATCCAAAGTCATGGCATCCTCGAACAAAGGGAAGCAGGAACTTTTATTTTGGTTAGGGAATGAATATTCAAAAGGGAGAGGCGTGTATTCACTTGCACAGGCTCAGTGGAAAACGTGCTTCCACATACACCGCAGGTTATGGTAATGAGGCCTAAGCTCCTCCTGCAGAGATCTTAGCATCAAAAATAAGGCAAAGGTCATGGGTGTAGCTCTCGTGGTGAGGCTTCGTCAGTTTCAGGGTGGTTGGTGGTTGCGTGCCCTTAACAAAAGGGAAAAAACAACTTGGAAAAACAGTTAAATGCTTCCAAACCCACTCTTGAGTTTCTTGGGACACCTAGTCGGTGACATTTCCTTCAGCAAATTGTATCAGGATCTGCTTCTGGGGGGACCCAAATTAAGATAATGACCAGCAAAAAAATCTTCAAAGCAACAGATGCCCCTGCCAGGATCTACCTGCTGTCCCTTCAGTCCCACAGAAGCAGAGACCTACGAGCTGGCCCCTCTGAGCCCAGAGCTGTCCACAGTCTCCTACCGGGCAGTAAGGGCGGGGAGTGGGATCCAGATCCATGTGACCCCCTGTCCTGACCTCTGCCTGGTCCCTTACTCTACAGAGTGGAAGCTCTCCAGCCCACCTCAGCGCCAGGTCCCCTGTGAAAGGCAGCCTGGGACCAAGGAAGAAACCCTGACGTGCCACCAAGTAACTTGACCTTGGGCCTCAGTTCCACATCTCTCAAACGATAAGGTAACGTTAGCAGACACCAAACTGTGAAGTCTTCCTTGATGGAAAGAATAACGAGGATCGCTTGGATCGACATTGCTGTGCCCTGACTGTCCGCTCTAAACCAGGCTTCACTGCTGCCCCCTGGGCCACCGTGGACAGGTCCTTAACCGCTCCATGCCTGGAGCTCCTCTTCCGCAAAGTGGGAGAAATAATGCTACCTAGGCCATAGAGTTATTGGGGAAAAGTAAATTAAGTCACTTAGCACAGTGCTTGGCAAATAAGCTGGCAATATATTTTAGCTGATATTGTTATTGTTATTGTTCTGCTCCCTCAGATATGGTTAGCTGTGTCCTCTGAGCCTCCGCACCTTTTGATCACATCACCACCCTAGAGTTAATTACCTGGTTGTAATTTTTGATTTCCATCCTTCTCCTCCAGGTGGATGAGAGTATCATCCATCTTTAGGTCCCCAGTGCCTGATCTAATGCTGAACTCAACTCTGTACAATGTAATGGGATAATGTTTTGAAAATTATTAAGACACTTTTCTCTTTTGCTTCTCTGAGTGTATGACCTCTGCCCTAGCTGGCCTCCAGTGTCCATCTGCCTGGTGGAGGATTAGGATTTGTTACCTAAGTAAAGAACAGAGTAATATGCAGCTTCTGGTAGGCGAATTAGGATTAGGCAGCAAGATGATAGCCGTACAAGCTGGGCTATCTCCTCTAGAGAGGATTTTCCAAATTCCTTTATGTCCCAGCTTTAATACATCAAGAGCAGAGTGTGGGGTTCATGGAGCTTTCCTGAGTGTAGAGAAGACACCCCTCCCACCTACGACAGCAAAGCCACAACCCTTGTTGCTTGGTGGTAGACGAGGAATGTGACATTAAAATATTTAATATAGGAACTGACCAATCAGAACAGATGCCAGCAATGAATATCCATGATGGCAGTGTGGTGTATAGTAGATGAGTGGAAGCTGTCCACAGGGGCTACAGAAGAAAATCCTGTTGCTCCGGCCCAGACATTCGAGGGAGGGAGAGCAGAGACAGGCAGTCGCATCAAGTGGTCACGTGTGTTCTGCTTTTCCTTCCTCTGGGAAGTTACATTAATAGGTGACACTAACTCTTTGGCAGAAGGGGGAGCCTGGGAGGGAGAGGAGTGTCTCTTGCTTGCACTCTGCAGAAGGGATCACCTCTTGGGCTGCCCTCAGAGCGGCCAGGGCTCAGCCACACCCACTGGGTGGTACTGCATGGCCGGGCAGAGGAAGACAACAGTGCTCCATGAAAGGATACATGACCTCAAAGGCTGCATCCAGCTCTTATGTTCTAAGTTCTCTCACATCTGTTCCATCTTCTGAAACTCTGCAGCCCTTTGGGTCTTGCAGTTCACGGTCTTGGTGCCGTGCAATAAACACTGCCCTAAATCCACCCCTAGTCCCAGCTGGATGGCATCCTTCACTGCAGCTAGCTATCAAAATAAGCCTATAAAGGGGTGCTGGGGGCCCCCAAGACCACCCTCTTGTTTGATGATTCACCAGGAAGATCCACAGGACTCAGTCACATTCATGGCTATGATTTATTACAGCAAGAGGATGCAAAGCAAAATTCACAGAGAAAAGACGCATGGGGCAAAGTCTGGAAGAAACAGGCATGAGCTTCTAGAAGTCCTCTCCCAGTAAAGTCACACAGGACATTCCGATTTCTTCCAGCAAGGAGTTGTGAGAACACTTCTGAAATGTTGTCTACCAGGGAAGGTCATCAGAAGAGACGAGTGCCGGGGTTTTATGAGGGCTGGTCACATAGGCACCCTCTGTCGAGCAGGCACCAAAATCCCAGACATCCAGAAGGAAGAGGTATTCAGCATAAACCACGTTGTTTGTACAAACATTTTAGACTGAGTGAGCTACTCTTATCAGTTTGGGGAATGTTAGGAACCCTCTCAAAATCCAAGTTCCCGGACGTCAGCCAAGGGCAACCTTGCAAGCAGGCCTTACCAAGGAGAGCAGTGTCAGGCCTGTTATGTCAAGTCTTTTCTGCACAAGAGGTTATTGGGTTAAAAAGTACAGGTGATACAACAGTGTCCTCTTTATGACTTTATTCTCCATTAAGTGGGTGAGAGGAAGTCTGAGCTTTGATAACTCACCACCCATCATTATTTATAATGTGGTCACCTTGTAATAAACATAAGTTGTGTTTTATTAGACTTCTCCAATATTATATTCACACGTCATGTTGTAGCTGGGACAAGTGGAGGCAGAGGGGTCAGGGCCCCACCCGTGTCCCCTTGGCCTGCCCCAGAGGTCGCGTGAAACAATTTCTGAATGTGCCATCAGCTTCCAAGGCGTCTCCACGGCAGAACTGTGTGCATCTGCTCATACAACCCAGGTGCTGAGTCACTGTTCCAGAAGTGGCCCTCAATTAATCGGGACAGGAACTGCTGGTTTAATCCTATGGTTTCCCTTTTTTCAGAGAGAAAATTCTGAGGTGTGCTCTACAGTGTCCCACAGCCCAGCCCCCGGTGCCCACAGTGGTAATGTGCTGATCCATGCTCCCTTGTTGGTGTTCCTCCTGCCCCTGTTCCACCTGCCTACTCCCTCTTCTAGCTCCTGAGGTCCTTCCCGCATTCATTGCTTGCACCCCCATCTTCGGGACAGAGTTGAGAAGAAAATCCAAGGTCTCTCAACACCAAATCCAAGAACCTGTTCCATGGAATCAATTAGAAAGCATTTCACCTAAAAGAATTCCCCTAAATATGTTCGAATATATTCTACCCATCCTTTCTTCCAGACTTCACTCTCAGTTGCCTACATGTTAGCCTCTGGTGTGTGCTTATGAACAAGGTACACTGCTCTTGTGGTTAAGCACGTGAGTTTTGGAATCAGAGATTCCAGGTTCAAATCCCATATCCTCTCCTATAGAATGCCTCTCGGAATTTAGAGGCATTGTCTGAGAAGAAGCGGTTAGCACAGTGGCTGCCACAGAGCAAGCACTGAATACACGTGAGGCTCTGTTATTATACTCTGGGTAAGAGGTTCCATCTCAAGCTGGAGGAAGGAGGGGATCCCACTCAAACTTCCCCCCAACTCAGTGACTTTCTTCTTTCAAGCACTGTAGGATGAGAAGCCAAGAAAATGCTGTCCTGAAACCGTCCTTGTTCTTTTAATGTGTTCTGGAGAGGGAGTACTCTGTCTCATCTTCTGCATGCCACCTGGGGCTGAAAGTCCTAGATGCCCCTATGTAAATATCAAGTGCCTCCTGAATGCTGGCTAATAACCACGCTCAACATTGGGCAGGCAGAGAGCCCACGAGGAGCTGGCTGCCTAGCACTCTCTGAACCTCTTCACTTTGTTTATATCTTCAAGGTCTACTTTAGTCTCCGCCAATGTTGAAGTAAAAAAATTGTCTCTCCAGTGGGGATATGATGCTTAAAAACTCATGGTGAGGTGGAGTCTGTGGATAGAGCAGTCAAAAGAGCATGGCTGAGGGTCAGAGAGATCTTGACTAAAATCTTGGCTCTGCCCCTTAATAACCGGTTTTTTGCCAAGTTTCTCCTGTCCTCCAAAGTGGGGGGTGACATCCCCTCTTCACAGGGCTGTAGCTACGATTACAGATGGCAATGAAAAGGACCTTGCCCGGTGCCTACATAAGGGACTGTTTTTATGACAGACAATCCCACAACATGGTATTACTTATTTTCTGTCTCTTCTGTTTTAGCCCTTCTAGAAAAGTTGCTAAGAAAGAACAAAACCATCTGATCCAAACTGTATTTCTTTTTCACTCTTCTTTCTCTCTCTATTTGAGACTGTGACTAATGGGAAAATAGCCAAAAGATGTTGAACAGAAAGGAGGAGGGAATGAGGAAGGTCTCAAGAATCCACAAATTAGACACACTATGCTAGGTGGGCTGAATTTTGTCTAGCATCAAGCAGATAGACACTTGAAATGAAAAATATGCTTTATTTTTGAATATCAGCAAAGATATAATTAGAGGTAGCTTCAAAAACAGGTGATTAGGGTCAAGCAATTTCACTGGCACATTAAATAAGACTTGTAGTTGAATGTTAAACCAAAGTTAACTATTGGGAACTACCCATAAGAAAAAAATCTCGGTGGCCAAGACTGTTGGTATGACCCAGTATCTGTCCTCCCTTTCTTCCGCAGCAATAGAATCTGAAGCTGAGTGCAGGACCTCCCGGAATAAAGACTACTTTTCTTATTTTCCCTTGCAGGTAGGTATGGTCAAGTTATTAAGTCCTGGACAAAGAAATGCAGGAGGGAGTGGTGTATGCAACTTCCCAAAAGTACCTTTAAAGAGAAGCTTCCCCTTTCACTCCTTTCTGCTGGCTGGAATGTGGACTAGATGGCTTGAAATGGAGCAGCCATCTTGGACAGTGAGGTAAACATGAGAATAGAGAACAGCACAGAGAAGAAACACAATATTCTCTGGTATTATGAACAATCACACCAACCCTGGACGATCTACCCAGACTTGCACGTGAGAAAAATTAATTTCTACCTTTTTTCAGCTACTTGCTATTTTGAATTTTGGTCTTTCACAGCTGTTTCTAATCCTAACTAATTCAATCTGGATAGCACAGATACACAATTTACTACAAAATGCTCAATTTCTTGAATTTTTTTATTTGCATCAAAATCAAGCATTAAGATGCATTAGCTTGGTTTGCTGTATTTGTTGGTTCTGCTATTAACAGAAGTCCTACTTTAGGAAACAACAGGAGCTGTCTTGGTTATCACTTAAATAAAATTTGCTTTGCATTTGCAAAAATCTCATTTACTCCTGCCATTCGATACTTGGGAGATTTGGATGTTTAATGGATCTTTACTAGCAAAGTTTTTTTCCATAGTTGTACACAGATGCTGCTCTTGGGCTGTATCCATCCTTCCCAACAAAAAATCCTCGGAATATATTTCTAGCTCTTTTTATGGGGGGTTGAGTGGAGGTGGATATTTTATCTTTCTGAAGTCACTAAGTAACCCAATCCTATAAACACATTTTTTTCTCCATTTGGATCACAGCTCCATCTCCTCATTCTTCTCCTTTTTTGTTTTGTCTTGTTTTTTGCAGCAGGAACAAAGATCTGAGTTACATAATAAAATAGAGGGCCAGCCCTAATAGCCTAGTGGTTAAAGTTCAGAGCTCATCACTTTGGCAGCCCAGGTTCATTTCCCGGTCATGGAACCACACCACCCATCTGTCAGTTGCCATGCTGTGGCAGCAGCTCACATAGTAAAACTAGACTACTTACAACTAGGATATACAATCACGCACTGGGGCTTTGGGGAGGGGAAAGAAAAAAGGAAGATTGGCAATAGATGTTAGCTCAGGGCAAATCATCCCTTGCAAAATGAATGAATGAATGAATAAATAAATAAGTAAAATCAAAAAAATGAGAATGTTTGCTTTCTTTTCTTCCTTGCTTTTCTTTCTTTTTTCCTCTAAAGCCTTCGAGACCATGTACACCTTTGAGAGAATAAGGAAAGAATGAACTTTTGGGCAGAAGAGGATCCAAACACATAAAACTTTGCATAATCTTCAAGGGTTCATGGACCCCCTGGAAGCCTTTCCAGGAACCTCGCAATGAGAATCAATGTGATTTTGCAGAAGAGGACATTTTGGTCAGGGGTGGTAGGCATCTAGCTACATACTATGAGTGTCAGAAAAGGTGTCCTCCACAGACATATCTCCTTTTGAAACTTCTCCCCCTCCACTCCTTGCTTTCTTCTTGAGGTAAGGTGCTCAAGTTATCTAGGAAGCTGCAAATGTTATCTAGGAAGAATAAAATGTTAAGTCATTAGCAGCCAACAGTTTAGATGTCATTAGCTTAACAGATGCGATAAAGCTGTTAGGCTGTAGCTAATATTTGTCATTATTTAGATCACATCTGCCCCCCCAGTGTAAATTCCGCAGTGCGGGAGCCCAGAGTGCTCTGTTCACGGCTGCATCCCGGGGCTCAGCCCAGGGCCCAGCCCGGGGCCTGGCAGGGAGCAGCACTCAGTCCTCCTCTATCATACGGACGACTGGATAAATAAACAGAGAGAACGGGAAACAGTGGGTTCTGATGGAAGAAGAAAAAAGAAAAAAAGCCAATTCTTCCCCGGAACTGGCAGGGATGATAGGTGAAAGGCAGGTGGGCCAGGTAGGGGCCAAAGAGCCAGGAGAGGAGTCAGCACTGCAGAAGTCCCTAAAAGAAAGTTCGCCTAGTTCCAGTCAAACACCAAAAAATTATTTGGGGAATAAAATTTTATATTTCACTCAGTCTATCTTCATGGCACAGACTGTTTCTAAATATCAAAAAGTGAAGCTGGATCAATTCAGTGACATTATTTGTATTGAAATGTGATCATGGCTTTAATATCACAATCTTGATTCATGTTTTACATCTTTGTGATATCAGGAAAAATTTTACATGACTAAATGTGATAAATTACCATCCTCTACTGATTCAGCTGATGCATATTGAGTACTTAATGCAAATCACAATATGGAGGAGTTCTTAAGCCTGGCTTTGCACTGGAAACCCTTCAGATACTAGTTAAAATACAGATTCCCCAGTCCCTCCCTAGATCTCTGGATCAGAATCTCCAGGGGTTGCACCTGGGAATCTGAATTGTTAAGTCTCCTGTGTGATTAGGAGGTAGGCAATCTGTTGTAGGTCAGTCAACCAACATTTGCTACTGAGGATACGAAGATGATGCTGTCATTTTCATCAAGGAGTTTGCAATCTCAAGTGGAATTACAAGAATGGATGTAAATAACAGACTGTAAGTTAGATGACAGGAATGACAGACTGTTGGCATTCTCTTGGGAAGACTTCGTAGGGGAAGTAGCATTTAATCGAGACCATGACAGATAAACATAACTACAATGGGGAGGCCAAGAGTGAGGGTAAGCGCACTTGAGGAAGGAATCTGGTGAATGTCTAAAACTCAACAGGAAACATTTTAACTATCATAAGATCACAGACACTGGAAGAGACTTTAGAGATGCCTCTTTTGTCCCCCTACTCTGTTCAAAAGGAATCCAGGGCTCAAAGAGATGAAGGGACCAGTACAGAGTCACACAGCTAGTGACCATGAGGACATGTGCTAAAATGTACGTCTCTAAGCTCCCAAGCCCAGGCACTCCACCCGCCTGCCTGACTCCTGTTGGTCTGGCCGCAGAGCTAGGAATGTGTTTCTATTTCTCCTGGAGACTGCTTGGCTCATGTCCCTGAGAAAGCACTGCCATATGGGAACAGGTGTCAGGAGCGACCTCCAGGGAGCCAAACAGAGCACAGGGCCAGCTGGCAGGCTTCCCCCTCCTCTCAACAGGCCCTGTTTCACTCTATCCTGTCACTCACAGAACCTCTACGGACAACAATGTGGAGGAGGGTGAGAAGAACACACACATGCAGTGAATGAGTAATTCAGAGACACTAAGACGTCACCATTGCTTAAGTGGAGCCACATCCGGGGAATTTCTGTCAGAGGCTCAGCATATTTGGGCCTGTGACAGGCTGAAAATGCTTGTCCACACTCACTAGGGAGAATCTAACGGGCCACCTGGTTGGTGGTGCCAACACTAGTCCGCCATCTTACCCCTGGCTAGCAAGCTGTAATAAAAGACCCTTTCTCTCTTACCACCTTGCCCCTGGACTGTTGGCTTGTCTTTGCAGCGAGTAGAGAACCCCTATTTGGCAGTGACAATAACAACCAAAGCTTTACACACTTGTCTGCACTGCCCTGGGAGTGTACGATGACACGACAGTCCAGGAAAACACTCTGGCAGGAGGTGACAAGAGCATTGCCGAGTTGTTTTCCTGGGCACAAGTCTCACATGTATGTGGTAAAATTGATCCGTACGGATGTCACATTTTTATGCTATTGTAAATACCACTTTTATTCAATTTCTGATTGTTCATTGCTAGTAAAGAAATACAATTGATGTTTATGTGTTGGTTTTGTATCCTGTAATCTCGCTAAACTCACATATCAGGTCTAGTCACTTTTTGTAGATTATGTAAGATTTTCTTCATAGATGATTATTTCGTCTGTGAATAAGGATAGTTTTACTTCTTCCTTCCCAATATATAGGCCTTTTATTTCTTTTTTCTAGACTGGTTTCACTGGTGAGGACCTCCAATACCATGCCTAATGGAAATGGTGAGAGCCGGCTTCCTTGCCCTGCTCCCAAACTGAGGGAGAAGTATTCAGTCTTTCAGTATCAGTATGACGTTAGCTGTAGGCTTTTTGTACATGCACTTTATCAAGTTGAGGAAATTCTTTTGTATTCCTAGTTTCTTGAAGTTTTTTCCTGAATGGGTGTTGAATTTTGTCAAATACATTTCCTGCATCAACTGTGATATATGGCTTCTATTTTCTAGTCTGTTAATATGATAAATTACATGGTTTGGTGTACAAAAGTTAAACCAACCCTGTATTCCTGGGATAAGCCTACTTCATCATGAGGCATCATCCCCCTCTTTTTTTGTTTTACTGATTCGCCCTGAGCTAACGTCCACTGCCAATCTGCCTCATTTTTTTTTGCTTGAGGAAGATTAGCCTTGCGCTAACATCTGTGCCAGTCTTTCTATATTTTGTACGTAGGTAGCCACCACAGCATGGCTGACAAGTGGTGTAGGTCCACACCCAGGATCCGAACCCGCAAACCCGGGCATCCAAAGCAGAGCATGCCAAACTTAACCACTATACCACTGGGCCGGCCTCCATTATCCTTTTTATATGTTGCTATTTAGCTTTGCCAATATTTTGCTAAGGATTTTTGCATCTATGTTCATGCAGGAGAAAAATGTGTTTTTATTTTGCAATGTTTTGCAGCTGACATTTTCCTAGCCCTAAGGTCTGACAGGATAGAGAGCAAATTGCCCAAAATGCAAAGTGCACTTCCTAGCAGGGGCTAGGCCTCTGTCAATATTGTCACTTAATGGCAGTCAGCAATGCACAGGACTTTATCTACAAATGTTTTATTCATTATAATAGGAAAATAAATAGACATGTATCTAGCGGCTTTACCGATAAATAGTCCTTATCTATAAATTCATAGGTTTTCTCTATTTTAATTGCAAAGGGTAAAATGCTAGCTTATGTCATGTTTTATGTCTTGGCCAAAAGAGTTTCCATATTAAAAAAATAAATGTCCATAGTGCTTTGTTCTCTACTATAAGTGGAAACAGTTAATTTACTAAAGTAGATACAATAACTAATCAATGTTTATGTTAAAAACATTATATAATAAGTTAATATAATATAATAATGGTCATGATGCCACTGTAGTGTGGAGAAAGCAGTTTTATGTGCATTATCTTATTTGACTTGTGTTCAGCATTAATAGCCCATTTTGCAGGTGAAAAAGCTAAGGCCCAGAGAGCTTTCAGGTCACTCATCTATTAAGAATCAGAGTGGTGGGGCTGGCCTGGTGGCACAAGCGGTTAAGTGCGCCCGCTCCGCTGCGGGGGCCCGGGGTTCGCCGGTTCGGATCCCGGGCATGCACCAACGCGCTGCTTGGCAAGCCATGCTGTGGTGGTGTCCCATATAAAGTGGAGGAAGATGGGCATGGATGTTAGCCCAGGGCCGGCCTTCCTCAGCAAAAAAAAAAAAAAGAGGAGGATTGGCAGATGTTAGCACAGGGCTGATCTCCTCACAAAAAAAAAAAACAGAAAAAAACAAAAAAAAGAATCAGCGTGTTTGGAAATAGAAAATATTTTTATACACACAAACAGAAACAATTCATAAATTCTCTGTATTTTAATTCCAAAGGCTAAATGTTAGCTTATGTCATGTTTTGCGGCTTGAAATGTTTTCATATTTAAAAAAACAAATGTTCACTGCATTTTGCTCCCTGCTGTAAGATGATGACATATTCAGATACACTCAAGGAAATACAAATACAATACTATTTACTAGCAGGCATTAATTGTTCTAGGCAGAAGTTAGTTCAAACAAACGACAGGAGAGTCAGCAGTGCTCCAATAATTATGAATATCATAATTATTCTTCCTATCCATGGCTCTCATCATGAATATATTCATTTACTCTAAGTTGGTCTTTAGGGCAGATCTCCACACCAACTGCTCTTTCCAGTCTTAAATTACAGGCTCCTGATTCCATCAGCCACTTGACCCCAGAGGAAACAGCTGCCTCTTTTTTCTTTAGACTCTA